AGAGATAAAAGTACTATACATTTAACTATTTAACTAATCTGACACTAATTATAAGAAAGCATACTGACTCAAGACTTTTGTTCACTAAAAAGCAAGCACATGGTTAATGCATAAGTATTCGTTTGCAACACAGAATATGAAGATCACTAAGAGGACAAGATTTATGCCAACAGTTTATATAAATAAAATGTCTTTTATGTATTTCTTATCAATATAATGGGAGCAGAGGCCAAGGGCTTATTTTACATGATATCCAAAGCATTTCTCTCAGGGTTCCCAGTTACACAAAGCAGGTTCTGTTTTGGACTGATAACTTGGCTTTAATCAAGCTTGGCAGGTTGATTTCTCTTCCACCTTTCTTTAAAATTTAAACTTACATTTATGGGGAAAATGATTTCACATTTTTGTTTTAAATATAACTCGCCATCCTTGTAAAACATAAATAACATCTCAAAGAAAGCAATCTAGTTAGTTTGGGACATTCTTAGAAAGACCGATTTGGGGAAGGAAGAAGAGAGTTAATAAAAAGCCATCTTTGACGTTATTTAACACAAAAACAAACACAGATCTTTTTATATTTGACATTAAAAATCTGATCATTTGCCTCCCTAAAGAAAGCGCATCCAGCTTTTATACAGACGGCACAGTGAAGAATAATAATATTTCTGTTTACTGAGCTATCAGCTGGCATTTCCCTGCAAGTCAATGGTCTATTGCTGCTACGGCGTATTAGACCTGCATGTGGCATCTACAAATGTCAAGAGTATAAAAAAAAAAAATACAGGATGAAAATCAAAAGCAGGTTCCACACTGCCCACCAAAAATATAAAAGAAGGGAAACAAAGTTCAGCTAAACGTATTTGCTGCAGGAATCGGTGCAATATTCATCTGTCAATCTAGAAAAACAAGGGAGCTGCACTGTCATAGCACAGGATAATAAAACTTCCAGCAGATGTTCAAGCAGGGCTCTAATTTTGACTGAACTCCCTTGGTGAGCATTTAATTTCTTTATCATATGCAGGCTCAGCAAATTGTACTTCATCAAAGATGTGTTGTGAAATATTAATATTTCATATGATAACAAAACTCCATAGACTAACCTTTGTCATATTAAGAGCACCCAAATTTAAAATGTCAAGATTCTGAATTATAATAAGTTTTAAACAGAGCCTTGAATTGGTACAATAAATTATAATAAGGCTAATCCTAATTGGTATGCTGTAATATTATCATACACATGTATATTATATATATTTTAATGGCTGTCTTTAAGAAAGGCTGTGGGAGGAAATGAGAGTTCAAATGTGGTATACGGCAACATTTCATCAGTAAGAAAGCAAAGAAGCTCACAAGATATAATTATATATTTACAACAGGCTTAATCATAATTAGGACCATGTAAGAAAACAAAATATAGTTTTCTATGACAGACTGCGCTGTATACATGTGTACGGGAAGTTGTCTTTTTTGACATGTTATCACATGTGTGCAAGATGACATTATTATTTTTGCCATTTGGATTTGAACAGATATGTTTAGAATAGTTTTTGCACACTATTTTTGGACCACTATCAAAATAGGCAAAGTGATGCCATCATCATGTTTCATATGCCAAATTTAATTTGAATTTGTTCCTAGCCGCACTTTTGAACCTGCAGCACAGACGTCTGAATGGATAGATTGCGTTTGAACTGAAGGTTAAGAAGAAGTTAGTTTCCATATTTGTTTCTGCTGGTGATCTTAATAACAGCAATGGTTTCCGGGTGACTGAATGACACAGCATCACAAATCAATGCATGTCAGCCACAGAGGAAAGAGTAAGGGCTCTGATGACTCAGAGTTCAAATTTGGCAAGCAAACAGCAAACTGATAGCACATACCCTCTCTCTCATCCCTTCTCTTATTCTGTGTGTGTGTGTCTCTGTCTCTTTCTCTCTCTCTCTCTCTCTCTCTCTCTCTCTCTCTCCTTTTTAAAAACCATAATTCCTCACTTGTACTGGATTAACCACCTACTTCTGTTTATATATATATATATATGTTTTTTTAAAAAGCATAACTAATATATCATTAAATGCTCTAGGAGATTGTTTAACTCAACAGATTAAGTATCCATTTATACCTTCCCAGTAATTCTTAAAGGGTGAACAGAAATAAAGACCAATAGACTGCTAATATTCTACAAGACTGTAAACAAGTAATCCGTGATATTCCAAATACAAATCCAGACTCTTTGGTGTAGTTTAACACTTCAAAACCTTTCTAAATATTCAGCTGAAGATGTGATATTCACATATACCATTTGCATTTAAGTATGACAATCTTTAAAAATATTTTTTTCTTGTGTTGACTTTTCTAACTGTTGAGGATTTTCTGGCTTTCTGTTTCTACACCTACATGCAGCCTCTTGTGAAATTGTCAGAATAAGACAGCTGTAATGTTTTAGCCATAATAATGCCAGCTATTGATCCCAGTAAAAGAAGAACGAAAGAATGTGCTTAATGGAGCATGTTTGTTCTCTGTTATTTTCTTTGCCTAAGGATAAGCCTGATTTAAATAATGATACTCTCCTTAGTCACTAGATCCACACATTCTTATACATTAATTATTACTAACTACCAGTTAGTGCTAAATACATTGAGAGGTTAGCCATCTAACACTTCACCAATAATTGGTCTATGAAATGCTAAAATCAACTGCTCTTTTCTAACTCACTGCCATCTAAATACTCTGTCTTCTAAGAACAAAGCATCACATATTGGAAACACATTTAAATGCTTTGTGTACTGAAAATAATTATTTTACATTTGTTTATTGTGCGTGTGTGTGTGTGTGTGTGTGTGTGTGTGTGTGTGTGTGTGGAGTGCATCTGCCATGGTGCACCTGTGGCAGTCAGAGGTCAACATGCAGGAGTTGGTTTTCTTTCACCATGTAAAATCAGTTCTGGAATCAAACTCAGGCTATCAGGCTTGACAGCACTCACCTTTACCTGCTAAGCCATCTCGCCAGCCCCACTTTGCTTGCTTTAAAGACTCAGTCTCGACTTTAATCATTCATTTCCAACTTAGCCCACTTCTTCTGAGATAACAAAATCATAATCTTACATGGAATTCTATTTTCAGGGGGCAAGTTTCTGCATTCAAAAATTCACGAGGAATCTTATTACCAACAACAACAAATTATAGCAAGAAAGTTTATGACATGTACCGAGTCCCAGAATTTTATGCAAACTAAATGCATTGTTTTCCTAACTTTGAGTTGAAACATATGTCCTCATTTACATACATCCCCAAATCACAAAGCAATAATGTCAAAATAAAAAAAATTAAAAATAGAAACTCTCATCGAATCCAGCAATACCCCTATAGAATATATATTCAAAAGAAATGAAATCAATATGTCAAAAAAAAATCTGCACTCCATGTTTATTGCAGTACTGTTCACAACAGTCAAAAAATGGAAACATTTTAAGCATCCACCAAGTGATGCATGGATAAAGAAAATATAGTGCACTTACACTGGAAGACTCCCGGCCACATAAAAGGAAATCTGCCATTTGCAACGTGGGTGGAACTAGATCATTAGGCTAAGTGAAAGAAACCCGTCTCAGAAAGACATGGATGGTATGGTTTCCATCATATACAAAAGCTAAAATAAATTGATTCAGCAGAGGAGCATCAGATGGTGTTCATCAGAGCCTGGAATAGTGGGAGGAGACTCAGATGAAGAAAGGTGGGTTGGTTAGTGGTAAGTAAAAATTAGATAGAAAAGGTTCTGGTGTGCCATCACACAACATAATGACTATGGATATTAATACTGTACTTTGTATTTCAAAAAGACTAGATGACAGAAATTTGAGGAAGTTCTTTCCATAAGGAAGTAGTAAAATGTTAAGACAGGCACATACCTGATAAAAGCATTACATAATGTGTAAAACATCAAACTATCACATGGTATCTTATTAATAGATACAGATGTATTGGTCAGTTAAAATAAATTTAATTGGGGCTGGAGAGACGGTTTAGCAGTTAAGAACACTGGCTGTTCTTGGAGAAGACCCAAGTTCAAATCCCAGCACCCACATGGCAGCTAACAACTGTTGTAACTCTAGTTCCAGGGGATCCGACAGCCGCTTCTGTCTTCCTCGGGCATTGCATGACACAGGTGCGCTTACCTACATGCAGGCAATACACCCAAACACATAAAATAAAAATACAATATATTTTTTATTAATTGGGGCTGGAGAGACGGTTTAGCAGTTAAGAACACTGGCTGTTCTTGGAGAAGACCCAAGTTCAAATCCCAGCACCTACTTGGCAGTTAACAACCTTTCATAACTCCAGTCCCAGGGGTTCTAACACCCTCTTCTGTTCTCCTCAGGCATGTCACGATATGGGTGTGCTTACACATATGCAGGCATAACACATACACATAAAAAATAAAGTAAATAATAAATTTAATTAAAAACAAGAATTTGTGATTGTTAAACTAAATGCCACTTTTTTTTTTAGTTTAAATAGTTATTTATTCAGTTATTTATGTATTGCCTCTTGAGATGGCCTCATATACCTCAGGCTGACTTCATTTTAGAACTGAGGCTAGCCTTGAGTTCCTGATCCTCCTGCCTCTATTGCACAAGTGCTACGATTATAGGCATGCTTGGTTTCTGTAGTTCTGGGAATAAAATCTAGGGCTTTGGCCATGCTGGGCAAGCACTCTACCAATTGAACTATATCCCCAAACCCAAATGTAGTGTTTATATTTTTGATGCTTCTTAGGCAATGCAAAATGAGAACTATATTCCATACCCCACCATGCTTGGACAAGATGGGATGAAAGTAATTTAACCTCTAATGTGTACTGATCAAGTTTATTAACCTTTTTTGTGTATCAATCAAGTTTATTAACTGTCATATCTTGGATTAAAATTTTATCACATAATATTTATGCTTTCATAAAACATATGCTAAACATTTGCACATGACTTCAAAATATTTTCTTACCTTATCAAGAGAGAAAGTTTTGGTTAGAGCAAAACCCCATCCAGCCTCAAAAGCTCTTCGAATCATTGATGTGCTGGTAGCTGGCGTTGCACTGGCAAGACCAAAAGGATTGAGAAACCTCAGGCCAGCCATTTCCACACTGATGTCTACCAGGTCGACAGGTGTATAAAAGAGGGGCAGTTCAGGCTGGGCAGGCACTGAGGCTCCATACTGTGCCTGGAAGAAACAAGAAGGGAATCACTACTCTTGCATCATACCCTAGTTGTGGATTGTCGTTCACAAAATCCTGCCATCATGAAAACAGTTTTCATTGGTCTGTCTCCTTGAAGGAAACTGCCCCAAAGTCAGTTATTAGTGCACCCAGTTCAGCCACAATTATAATCATTTCCAAGTTAAAAAGGTGGCATAGAGAGGATTAACAGAAGGAAAATCAATTAAACAAACAAACAACTCTATTTCAAACATACTGAGACCCAAACACAAAAGGGAATCATTTTTGAATTTATCTCTCTGGTTCCATTAACCGAGCTTCTTTGTGCTTAATTTACGAAAACGTCTTAGTGCTCAGAGATATGGGCCACTGCAAGTCAGGCAGTCTAAATTCAATTTCCAGTAATCTCACTGCAGTCTATGTGGCTTCAGGAAGGTCCCCTAACATGCCCTGCTTTTCTCCTTTATAGCTCTCAGCAGAAGGAATGCTGGCAGTCTAATTTCCTACCTCAGAGGGACATTGGGAAATCTAGGAGAAGACAAGTCATGGAGACCTTTATTTGGGAAAGGGGATAATGCACTCTTGCTTACTGGGAGAGTTGTTCAGAAAATAAACAGGTGCCAGTTTATGTTAAAATATTCAGCTGGCACTCAAAACTGTATATCCACTATTGTTCAGTGTTCACTGCCAGAATACCTCACTGAACTGTTAAATATTTTAATGAAAACACGTAGGTACTTGGTGCACTAAAGGGTAGGTTTTTGTTGAATGTCCTCTCTCTCTCTCTCTCTCCCTCCCTCCCTCCCTCCCTCCCTCTCCTTCCCTTCATTCTCCTCACTGTCTTCAGTCACTTCCTGTCCCTGTTTATCTCTGAAAGACAAATAATACTTAATACTTGAAATTACAAAAAGGATGAATATTCTCAGTCAAAGTAGTTACTGAATGGACAGGGCTACTTAATTCAAAAGTAGAACTCCATTCTCTTGTGAATCATCACTCAAAAGAAAAGTTATTTGAGCAGAACCTTAATTTTATAGGCATGTGTCTTGTGTAGATAAAGATTTCCATGACTTGCATAGAAATCATGTCTAGCCCTCTACCATTTATAATGCAAAGCAAAGCTCACTTAATATGCAAAAAAGGCATCAAACTTGCCAGTTGAAAGGCCATTGTGTTTCTGCTTTTGCAAAAAGGGGCCCGATGGCAATTAGGCTTCAGCTATGGTCTCACTTTTCTGCCAGGAGTCAGCTGGCTTTCTTGGCTTCCCCCCCACCTGCCTCCCTTCCTCTAGCCCTCCCTCCCTGAACTGAGCTACATGCTCAGTCTTCTAAGGTGCACACTACTGAGTCCTGGGAAGTCTGGCTGGATTGGTTCTGGTCCTCATAAGGAATCTCATTACTATATGAAGCCTTAAAAATCAAGACAAGAGTTGTGAATACATGTTTAGGGAGGTAGAGCATAGTTTCAGGTGTGTGTGTGTGTGTGTGTGTGTGTGTGTGTGTGTGTGAGAGAGAGAGAGAGAGAGAGAGAGAGCTAGAGAGAGAGAGACAGATTCAGAGACAGAGACAGAAAGACAGAGAGACAGAGAGAGAGAAAGAGAGAGAAAAATCCATCAGATAGATGCATATGGAAGCAAACCTTGCTTGATATTAACAGTACTTTTCTTAATTACATTTGACCATATTTTAAATGGAATCAACAGGATTTTATGTTACAATAAAGGAGCAGTTGCTGACACTAGAGGTTAGTTAATACAAGGTGAAATTTGCAAACATTGTCCTTTTATGCATACCCACAGGAGCAACACTGGGTGCCTTTGTGACTGACACCAGCAGCAGGAGCAAGATGACCCTGTATACATTATGGGATGAAATGAATGACACTATTTCCTTCTCTTTTTGGAAATAGGCATGGAGCTATCTAACCTCTTCAATCTTGTAGTCAAGTTTAGTTTGTTTATATATGTGCAGGAGGCAACAGCCCAGAGGAAGATATATATATTGTATGTGTAGCCTAACTTGCATTGCTTAATTTATGTGGTTATAAAAAATAAAACAATGTTATAAAATTCTTAAGAAGGTTACTGCCTTAATATTTATTTATAAGTGAAATAAGTTGGATAAATTTTGTAAGAATTCCTTTAAGCTTAAAAAAGTAGAAAAGGGTGCTGGAGAATTGGGTCAGCAGTTAAGAGCACTGGGTACTCTGGCAGAGGACCTAGATTCAGTTCCCAGCATCTACATGGCAACTAACAACCATATGTAATTTCAGTTCCATGGAATCCAATGCCCTCCTCTGGCCTCTGTGGGCATTACATACAAGTGGTACACTTATAAACAAGTAACACATAAAATAAAAATAAATAATGTAATAAAAGAAAACTAAATACACAAAACTAAGCACTTTGAAATGAGTCATAGAATACATGTTTTACTGTATGCATGAAACTGCTACTGGTGTGTGTGTGTGTGCATGTGTGTGTGTGTGCACACATGTCCATACATGTGCACCCACACACAGGGACATGTTTTCTTCTGTTTTTCTGGACCTCTGCTCTAAAGTGTGCCTCTTTTTCTGCAATGTAAGACATCTTTTTCTGAGCCTGGCTCTGTGGACTGAAGTATCTCAAGTTTCAGCTCTCACTACAAGACCAATACCTTCCAAATCCCATGTGCAACCTCCAAATTGAGATTTCCAAAGGCTTTCACCACCTTTGGCTGCAAATACACTGGCTTCCCTTATATCAAATGTCTTTAAATTGGACCTCATTGCAATCCTTTTAAAACATATGTTATCCAGATTTTCAATTTCATACAATACTATTTTTCCAGTAATACAATAGTGTTAGCAAATAACAGATATGAGAGAGATGTTGAACAGTGGAGAGATTTCCACAGTGGAAATGCATGCTCTGTGAGAGTCAGAAACAAGACAGAAACAGAGAACACATTGACCTATAAGGGTGTTTGCCATGTAGCACCTGGGAAAAAAGTAAGGGAATCCTGTATGTAAATGGAGAGATTTCTACATGTATGCACATGTGTCTTAGAGTGTGAAACTTTGTGCGTCCATCTTTCCACAAGCTGTCACCAGCATATTAACCAGATTTCTCTCTATGAACACAGGGCTTAGAGGACCTTGCATTTTAAATTATTTTTGCTTATTTTATTTTTTATAATTTTTAATAGTGACTGCAATTTATTTTACACAAAAATAAACAGAATTGAAGGTATAGTAAAACAATTCTTAAAATGTTATTTTGTTATAAATTGATAACTAATAATTTATGTATCTTTCAGGTTTTAAAGTGATGGTATGGTTTGTAAATATGGGATGATAAAATTAGGTTTGCTAACCTGTTCATCATCACACATCATTAACATTTCTGTGGTAAGAACACTTAAAATTCACTCATTTAAAAGTATTTTATTTATTTTAATTTTGTGTGTTTGAGTAATTTGCCTGCATGTATGTAAGTACACCTGTGTGTGCAATATCCATGGAAGCCAGGAGAGAGCGTCAGGTCACCTGGAACTGGAGCTAAAGACTGTTGTTAGCTGCTATGTGGGTGTTGGGAACTGAACATGATCCTTTGCAAGAGAAATCAGCACTTTTAACTGCTGATCCATCTCTCCAACCCCTGAAATTCACTCTCAATGGTTTTTAAATCACCAATACTCTATTTTCAACTATATTAACCACATCGTATAACAAATTTCAAAAGAATATTTACCTTCATGTCCCCTTTCTTCGCCTCTAAGTTGAGATTAACATTGCACCAACTGCTCTGTTAGTCTGATTTCTTTGCTTCCACATGTGAAAGCATGTGGCCCCTTCTTTTCTTTGCCTGGCTTACTCTTTTTAGAACAATGCTCTCCACTTCCATTAATTAGTCACAATGACAGAATTTCTATCTTTCTAAAGGCTGCATAGCATTCCATCATATGCACATACCACACTGCCTTTACCCATTCAACATTTAGGTTGTATACAAGGCTACTGTGAAAAATATTTTTATAAACATAGAATTACAGACATTTCTTTGACAACAGATTTAATACCTTTGAAAGAAATATCTAGGGCTTGAATAGTTAGATTCTATGGTATTTCTATTTTTAGTTTTTTGAAGAACTTCCATAGAGTTTTCAGTGATGATTATGCTAATTGTCATTCCTACAGACCACAGATAGTGCAAAAGGACCCCCTTTTCTCCTCGATATCCTCACCAGCGCTGATTACCTTTGACCTTTTTTGTAACGGTACTTTGGTAGGGGCGATGGCTAATCCTCATTGCCAACTTTTCTGAATTTGGAATCACGTAGCAAACAGACTTCTGGGAATGTCTTTGGGAAGTATTTTCTCAGCTTCACCCACCAAATCACACAGAGGCTATTGCAGCTATCGTAAAAGCAGTCTGATTACACCTTGAGCTGACAGCAGAATTGTCAGTGTCACCTCCATGGTACTCCAGGGGTGTAAGATGCAGGACTGAGGAGGGTGTTGCAAGCTTTTGATAAGCCTTTGGAAAACAGTGAGACTGGAGAATGCATAGAAGGTTTGTATTCCTTTTAAGATGCTCTTGAATGGCTATTGTGTGAAGTCATGAAAGAAAAGATTAAGTTGCAACCGAGACTCCAATATGATAGAGATGCTAGGACTGTACGATGCTCACGGAGGAAGGCTGCAGTCCCAAAGTGGATTCAGATCAGAAGAAATGTGCTTCAGCCACTGGAACCGGAGGACTGGTATACTCAAGGCTGCTGGAGCCCAGATGATGCATCTAAGAGCTCCAAATGCCAGACATGGCACTGTAGGCTTTGATGTCTACCCTGTTGGGACTTAGTTTTGACTTACCTGTTTTCTCCCTGTTCTGTTCCAATTCCCCTTTTTGGAATGGGACTGTTTGTTCTTTGCCAATGTGTATTTGAAATAGGGAACTTGTTCTTTCGGTTTTATGGGGGCCTATAATTAAGAGATTGCCTTGAGTCCTTGAATGTCTTGTCAT